AACCCCATCTGAGCCCGGCAGCCACCATGGGTCTGGGTGATGACTTGATCCCAAGGGCATGGTCCTGGGACCCCAGGAGGACTAAAGTCAGATTTCTTGGCATTTCTCTTGCAAACTCAGTACCTGCAGGGCAAGAGCGTCTCCTAAAGGCACCTACCTGCCTCTGCTTCTGCAACCTTCCTCCAAGGACAGTGGGCACCTTCAACAGGTGACTGGGGTCACAAACTGTGTCCTCAGTTTCAGGCAGGAAGAATATTCTTGTCCGGCGTTGTGTGAAAGAGGGATTTGCAGAACTGTGTGTCTATTTAGTGGGTTTTGAGCTGTATTTAAAAAAAAATGAACCTAAATGGGAGAGAAGAGAATACAGAAGGCTGTGTGTGTGTGTGTGTGTGTGTGTGTGTGTTGAGTGTGCATCCTGGCTTGTGATGTGAAAGATCTTTCTTCTGGTGGGTCACAACCACAAAAGCGTTGAAAAGTACGGCCAACTGTCCCTGTCCTTCGGTAGCCATCTGTCCCGTGCTTTGTCCGTCTAAACGTCTCCTAGGTAGCAGCAGCCAGGACTGGACAGTGGGAACGTTTGCTAATCAACTGCTCCCGGGCGTGAGTGTAGCTGATGGGTGACTTCGGTCTGGACACTCACAGCCGGGTGGCCATGGCTGCAGGGGTCATTGGCTCCTGACATCTTCTGTAAGAAAAGCCAACATTGTCCCTTTCCCCTCGTTTTGGAGGAAGAAAGGGAAGCCTGTGACAGAAGGGGCTCCAGGACAGGGGGCAGTGAAGTCACACACACCCCTACACATCTGGAGACAAAGAGCCACTGCCTTGGCCTCATCCTTGCTGTCCCTTCTCCCCCCACCCCTGCATCTCCACCATATGCAAATTATGTCTGCTTTGCCTTCAACATATATCCAGAATCCAACCACTTCCCAGCACTTCTCCTGCAAACTGGCAGCTGGAATACATAAAATTGCTCTATTAAACCCAGCTGGAGGGGCGTCTGGGTGGCTCAGTCGACTAAGTGTCCAACTTTAGGTCATGATCTTGCAGTTCATGGGTTCAAGCCCCGCATCAGGCTCTGTGCTGACAGCTGGGAGCCTGGAGCCTCCTTCGGATTCTGTGTCTCCCCTTCTCTCTGCCCCTCCCCTACTTGTGTTCTATCTCTCTCTCAAAAATAAATAAACATTAAAAAAAATTAAAAAGAAAACCCTGCTGGAATTTGCAGACTCTCTGGGAAACACATCTTGTGACCTTTTCCCGGTTGTTTACAATTAAACTGGCAACCCTGTCAACTCGCAATAGCCACTCTCTCCATCATTTTATTTGTTTCACTGACAAAGCATCCTCTTTCCCTGTGATGACTTCTGTGAGCTGACTTCTCTTGTGAGACCATGAGCCTTGACCCTTGAAGCTCTCCCGCTTACACGCAGGGTTTGGACTCTGGGTTTGGGTTTTGTGGCAGAGACTTCCACTTCTGAGTCATGAGCCTGGGTGAGGTTGAGTTGCCTTGGCTGTTTGGAGGCTGACACAGATGTATCCATGTGACCTGGGGAAGCAGCCTTGTTTGTGCTGTGGTTTCCCCATTTTTTTTAAAAAAAGGAAAGGAGTTATTCTCTGGATCACGTTATATTTTTGTGACCCAGAGTAACACCCTGAGAAACATGTCTAAAAGTTATGTTGTTCAAACTGATGGCTTATAAAATTCAGCGGTATGCCATGACTCCTTCTGTAAAGTCTAGAGAGGTAGCACCAGCTTTGGGGGGCCGGTACCTGTCCAAAGGGTCTCCTGATGGGGAGCCAAACTTGTGTATGTGGCCAGTGGGTGAGGACAGGCCAGTGGGGCTGCTGGCCACGTGACTGCATCCACAGTCCTGCTTGCTCTGCGGGACCCCTGGCTGAGAAGGTCTAGCCACCAGGAAGGGCTGGGCCAATAAGCTCGCACAGAACACGCTGGCTGGTCCCCAAGATGTCAGGCTCAGCCCAGCACTGGCTTGATGTTCTGTTCCCTACCCTCAGTTGCTTGGGGCTTCCGGTAATTCTCTGTTTTGCGGACTCACATAAAATTGTGCGAAGATGTCAATTACTCAGAAGTCCCATGCTCTCCTGCTTTTCCCTGCTGTCTGCTTTGCCCCCCGTTCCTAGTCCTGTGCCAGATATTATCAGGCAAACAAAGCACCTTACAAGTGATGTACAAGTCAAGACCTACAGAGGACTTTTTTTCACAAAGGACTACTAGAGACATTGATCAAATGTTAAGCACGTCCTCCAGAGAAAATGCGTTTTGCTGTTCCAGTGCCCCACGGGTCTAGTGGTGCTGGTCCCTGGTGTTTGGACGAGGCGTTACTTGCTCATTGACAAAATTTGGCTTCTAGACATCTACAAGACCCACAAACAGGAGTGGATGTGCTGTAGGTGTTGAACGCATCCGTGGTTCGTTCCTTTTATCACCGAGTGGTGGTCCATGGGGCAGACATGTCTCTCTTTCCTTAGCCACTCACCCCCTGAAGGGCATCTGGGACTTTGTGTCCCTGGGACAAATGCCCAAGAGTGCAATTTCTGGGCTGTCTGGTAACTGCATTCAGTTTATCAGAACCTGAGTACCTTCTGTTTTGAGTGGTTTTTCTGATCCCTTGAGGAGGAGAAGATAAAAGTCTAGCTTCGGCATCAAACCGTTCACCCTCAGATGCCCCCTAATGGATCAGGGATGGGGAGTAGACAGCACCAGAGAAGGAACTAGGTGAGATCCCCAGGGTGAGAGACTTGAGGGGCCTCTGTCTCAAGGTCATGACCCTGCTCTTCCCCGACCTGGGAGTGAGTGCCTCCTCCGATTCCACTTCTGGGGTGCCTCACCGGCCTCACCTGGTCCCCACCTTAGAGGACACTTTCAGATAGACATCGGAGCCATTGGCTCGTCAAGCAGGTTAAAAATTGTAGAAACGGGAGCCCACACGTCTTAAGGAAAGGAGTTTTACTATTCTTCTTAAGGAGATTTTTAGGTGGTTTCTTCCCTGGCTCCAAGCAGCCCTGCCCTCGATGAGGCAGGGAGGATGGAGTAGACGGTCCTGTGGGACGGAGAGATCTGTCTGCCGCTCACCTCTGCCAACCCCGAGCATCCACGTGGAGCGGGGAAGACAGCCAGGTCCTGGCACATGCCGTCGGCCCCTGCCCATCCTGGGGGCGCAGACAGAGGAGGGGAGATAGCGAGGGTGAAACTAGCCCAGCTGTCCTCCTGAGCTGGGATTTGGGGGCCATGAAGGGAAGGTCGCGGGAGGAAGGCAGGCCACGCACAAGCTGTGTGAGCCCCTGGAAGGAGAGCCAGGGCCCCTGGTGCCTGCCCCTCTCCCGAGAGCAGCCTTATCTTCTCAGGTAGAGCTCCCGGAACTGCCTCTGCAAAATGAAGTATGAGTGCACAGGCCCCACGAAAGCACTGCCGCTACAGAACCTACCTATCCTCCAGGGGCTCTGCCCAGGCCGAGACATACTGCAGAGCAACATACCCATCAGCGCTCCTGATGCCAGCCTGTGCTGGCACCCGCCCCGGGACCCGGGCGCTCCACCAACCCCGCTCTTGATGTACACAGGGGAATTTCGCACAGGAGCCACTGTGATTGTTTGCATTCCCCAGTCCAAGTGTAGCTGCGTCCGGCCGAAGTAGAGAGGAAGACTTCTGTCCTCCCTGAGGTTGGGAAGTTCGATGTCGCTACCTAAACTGCTGCTACGGATCTCCACGGTGGGGGAGCGTGGACCACATCCACACACCACAGGGCAATCTAGATGCAGGAAAAGCGGCCCTCCCCAGAGAGGTAGCTGGGTCCGAGGACACGTACAGTGATGGGGGATGTGGCTCCCATGACCGCAAGGCATTCAACACTGCAGAGACCGTGGCAACCGGGGTGTGGGGTCTGCTCCGCCTCTGGCACCGTGAGGACCACCGAGGACCACCCAAGGGCTTCACAACCCAAACCCAAAGTCTGTGTCAGCACAGCTCGCTGCCCCCTCCCCGTCCCCCATCCCTCATGAGGGCTGGCGTTGGGCTCCCCTGTCGCCTGCTCAGGTGCTCTGCCCGTTTGGCATTTTTCACTTCTTCAGAACTGCGATTACCTAAGTTTGCAGGAAAATAAGGAAAGGGTCCACAAGAATCGAGAAATAGAATCCACATGCACCGCCGACGGGACACGTGGGTTGGAATCTCTGCCAAGAAGTCACGTGCACACGTGTGCCTCTGAACATTGCGTGTATTTGTGCACGCGTGTCTGCGTTCCAGAGTGTGTGCGTTTACCGTTCTAAGAACGTGTATATGCAGATGTGGATAGATGTGTCAGCGTGTGTCTGAGTGTGATAGCACGTGTGTGCCCGTGTGTGGCTAAGTGCGTTTATCCGAGTGTCTGTGTAGCTGTGCGTCTGTCTGGTCTTGCATGTATGCGTATGCATATAACTGGGGTAAGTCTACGTAATGGGTGCATGCGGGTGTGTGTGCACGTACCCGCCCCCCGTGGGTGGGTGTACGGATGTGCAGGGTGGGGGCCGCAAGCAGGAAGAGAACCGTAAGTAGAATCATTGAGCAAAGGGCTGAAGTCACTGAAGTCACGGCACTGACACCATCGTCACACGGTCAGCTCAGTTCCTTCCCTTCTGAGGAAGCGAGAAGGAGATGTGGTTCTTTAGCTCCAATCTACGGTTGCTAAACGTCCTCCCAGCTGGGTCCCCCACGTAAGGCATCGGCTTCAGACTTCCCCTTTCTCCACAGCCCTTGCATCTTTGTGATCGAAAACTTGAACCTCTGTGGCTAGAAATACACCACGCCTCTGGTGAGGTTGCACAGCGCTTTGGGGATTGACAGAAGGGGCTGGGAACCTTCCAGATACTGCCAGCCAGCCAAGTTGCTGGTCCTTGTTGGTCTGTCTGGGCAAAGGTGTGCGTGTGCGTGCACGTGTGTGTGTTTGCATGCGGGGAAAAACTGACAGACACAAATGGGATTAACTTTCAAGAGACAGGCCGAGGGATAGAGAAGCAACCACCGTCCCACATGTTACGAACGATTCTTCTGTGCCATCTTGGTTTTGTGTTTAGGACCAGAGTTTGACCAGGCTACCTTCGTCTCACTTCTAGGCAGGTCGGTCTATCAGTTATCTTCTGCCAAAAAGTACGGTGCAAATATCATTCCAAAATTCAGTCTTTTGTCCTATTTGTCATTTCATTTGCTCGCTATTATTTTATGTTTTTTCAACAACTGGGCCTGACCCGATCAGATGAGTCCTTCCAGGAGATTAGGATGTATCTAGAAAGAGCACAAGAGGGATGTGATGTGAGGGGAACAGAGGCTGGCTTTGGAGATGAGGGAGAGCACGTGACAAGGGTTGCAGGCAGCCTCTAGGAGCCAAGAATGGCCGCTGGCTGATGACTTCAGTCCTACAACCCCAAGGAATTGAGTTTTGTCCCTGACCCGAATCAGCTTGCAAATGGGCTCGCCCCCAGAGCCACCAGAAGGGAACACGCACTGGCAGCCACCCCCACTTCCCATCTGATAAGACCCTGGGCAGAGAACCCAGCTGAGCCCCTCCTGAGCTCCTGACCTGTAGAGCCGTGAACTATTAAATGGGTGTTGTCTTCTGCTACTAAGTTGGTGATGTTCGTTATGCAGCCATGGATCACCAATACAGCCTGACTATTTTCTTTGAAAGAGAAAGGAAAAACTCAGCAGCAAAGACACAAATCAATATGTCGCTACACATGTCACTAAATGCCACACCCGTGTTGATGCTTGGTCTCCCACAGTGGCTAGCAATGACCTCGATTACCATCTCTTCACCAGCAATGAGTTTTATCATTTTATTTCAATCACTGACAAGTGAAGATGTCAATTCGTTGTTATTTTAAGGGGCATTTATTTCTTTTACGTCTAGCGAGAGACACCCTTTTTCATGTGCTAATTCTTAGCTGAGCGGCTGTTAGCGGTTGGGAACACGCTATCTTAATTTCCAGCCGGATGCATTTTTCTATTTAATTTTTATGGCTAATTTCTCTGTTCCTACAGAACCCCTACACATGAGGTGCTCTAAAAATATTTGCTGAATGAATGTCTGAATTAAAAAATAATGAATGAGTAAGTAAGTCTTCAAGAGCAGGTTGGGGCTTTGGTTGCTGAGAAATTCAGCCTTCTGGTGTCAGGACGGACTGCATGTGTGCCGGCGGCATCCAGCTCAGTAAAGCGGGGACGCACCTGACATTCAAATGCCCTTGGCCGCGTCAGCCCTTGAGGCAGTTGGCGAAAGAGTAGCCATGACAAAGCCGGCCAAGAGCCGCGAGTGGACAGAGATGGGGAATCACCATGGACGGGCGTCCGGGTAAGTGGTCAGGCTGCTCTCTGCCCCCAGGGATGCGAGACAGGGTCAGACTCTTGGTTTGTCGGAAATGTATTTATTATCATTCCTTTTTTAGAATTTGTTTGGAAACTATGATGACAAAAGTAATAAATGTGCTTTTTCAAGTGTCTGAAATGCAAGGTAAAAGAAACCCTCAAACTCACGCCTCTCAGATAATGCAGATAATATTAGGTACATATCAGTGAGAGGAAAAATGGGTTTTGAGCTCTACATACTGTCTGCAGCGTATTTTATTTTCACTGAACAAAGTATCTTGGATATATTTTCATCGCTACAAATTTCAGATCAGGAAACTGGGGTCCAGAGATCCCCGGAGGTCTCCATGGATAGACCTCGGGGTTCTCACGGCCCCTAAAGTCTCAGGTGCATTTTCAAGGGTGTGTGGACACTCCCTAGGTCTCTGAGCAAAACAACTCCTACGTCATTTTCAAGTCTTTTTCGACACTGTGATCATTCGAAAAAATTGAGATGTACTTGACGTACAATGTTGTGGAAATTTAAGGTGTACATGTTGATCTGATACACTTACCCGTTGCAATATGATCCCCTCTATAGTGTCTATTAACATCTTTGTCACGTCACAGAATTATCATTTCTTTTTTGTGGTGGGAACATTTAAGATCGGCTGTCTTAACATCTTTTAAGTATGTGAGCAGTTTTAACCACAGTCACCAGGCTATGCATTAGGTCCTCAGAACTTAACCCATCATCTAAATGCAAGTGTGTGTCTTTTGACCAACATTCTTTCCAACCTCCGTGCCCCCCAGGCCCTGGTGACGACCATTCTACTCTGTTTCTACAAGTTCAGCGTTTTTGGATTCCACAAATAGGCGAGCCCTTACAGTGTCTGTCTTTCTCTGTCTGGGACTTACCTCCCTGAGAACAATGTCATCAATGTCCATCCACGATGTCACACAATGGCGAGGTTTCCCTCTTTCTCGTCGCCAAAAAAGATTCCATTATATACATCTTTTTTATCCGTGGATCCATCCGTGGACACTTCGGTTGTTGCCATATCTTAGCTATCGTAAATAATGCTGCGGTAAACATGGGGTTCAGTTATCGTTGTGATGTCCTGTTTTCGGTTCCTTTGGGTAAATACCCAGCAGTGGAGTTGCTGGATCACAGGGTAGTCCTATTTTGCATTTTTTGAAGAACTTCCCCATCGTTCGCCCGAGTGACTGAACCAACTTAACATTCCTACCAACCACGCACAAGCGTTCCTTTTTCTCCACTTCCTCACCAACACTTGTTATTTCTTACCTTTTTGATTACAGCTACTTCAACAGGTATGAGGTGAGATCTCACAGTGACTTTGATTCGGATTTCCCTGATCGTGAGCAATGTTGAGCGTCTTTTCATCCACCTGTTGGCCACTTTTATGTCTTCTTTGGAAAAATGTCTATTCAGTTCCTCTGCCCACCTATTAACCAGGTATTTTTTGTTATCGAGTTATAACATTGTAATAATTTTATTAAATTGTGATGCTTTTTATGAAATTGCCTCTAGGTACTGAATATCTTTAGGCTTAGAAACTCACTTTGTATAATTTAGGCAATTATAGGGGCGCCTGGGTGGCTTAGTCGGTTAAGCGTCCGACTTCGGCTCAGGTCATGATCTCACAGTCTGTGGGTTCGAGCCCTGCGTTGGGGGTCTGTGCTGACAGCTCGGAGCCTGAAGCCTTCTTCAGATTCTGTGTCTTCCTCTCTCTCTGCCCCTCCCCCGTTCATACTCTGTCTCTCTCTGTCTAAAAAATAGATAAACATTTTTAAAATATGTATAATTTAGGCAATTATACTGGACATTGATTGTTTACACTGGGAGATTAGGAGTCCTTATTAAGTCAAAGTGCAGATAAAAATCCCAACTTGTTTAAGGGAGCCTGGGAAGCTCAGTCAGTTAGGCATCCGACTCTAGCTCAGGTCATGAGCTCATGGTTCTGTTCATGAGTTCAAACCCCACTTCAGATCCTCTGCCTCCCTCTCTCTCTGCCCCTCCCCCACTCGCAAGTGCACACACACACACACTCTCTCTCTCTCTCTCTCTCTCTCTTTCAAAAATAAATACATACATACAAAAATATCCCAACTTGTTTTTTCCTCTCTTGCCTACTGATCAGTAGATTATCAGGGTCTCTTTGGGATTCCTTTCGGGTCTGCTGTACCTCCCTGGCCTTACTGTTGTCTCTCTAGATCTGCTATTTGGGTCTTTTAAGAAGCAGAAGCCAAGAGGGGATAGCAGATGAGAGCTTTCCCTGTGAAGGATAGATGGAGAGGGGCAGGGAGGTGGGAGAGCCTTCTGATGGATGCAGGTCTGACACCTGGGAAAAGGTAGAGGGAAGGAAGGGATACACGAGAAGGACCTCGGGCTATAGTCTTGGCCGATGGGGGTTCCCGGGCTTGGTGCCCAGCAGGGCAATGCGTAACTCTCATCCCTGGCGCCATGTTTAGCCATTGGCCGAGTGCACCTTGGGAGAATATGGCTGACCCTCTGGAGGACCCAAATTTGCAGCAGCCGGAGGTGCGTGTCTACCAATCAGGTTCCACCTACCTGTCTGCCTATAGCGGGTGCTCTCGAAGGGACCCGTGAGCACCTCCCCTGGGGCCTGTGTCTCATCTCAGCGGGCAGCCATTCTGCTAAGATATTATTAGTGTCGCCACTAGAATGGACCCCGTACCCATCTGAAGAGGCTGAAGACGACCTGACTTTGCCGGAAACTCACAGAGCTCTTCTGGACACAGAAGGTCGTCTTGTGTCTTGTCTCTGCAGTGAGCCAGGAACTCAGCACCCTTACGGGGGGCTGACATCGTGCCTCCAAGTCGGGAACGTGAGCTGCGGACCTGTGCTACGTGCTTTGCACGTGTAATTGTATTTGATCATCATGGACACTCTAGGAGCTGGGCTGCCGTCACCCGCCAACGTGCGGGGGAGACATCCCAAGCATGGGGGTGGGGAATAACTTTCCCAGAGCGGGCAAATGGTCAAGGGGGAGTTGAGGCCAAACCCAAGCTCTCAGTCCTGAGAGCCCTTGTGCTACCTCTGCCCTAAACACATGACTCAAGTCTGTCCAATGAATGAAAAATTTCTTGAAGAAATGCCAACCTTTGATAGTGGAAATCCGAGTGCTATAGATGCAGAGGTGGGGGCTGGCATGATAGACACCCCCAGCGGGCTCCAGAGAGGCTGGCAGATATTAGAAACCGGGGTGAATCTGAAACTCATCCATTCATAAAACACACCTCCTTCCAGGCTCCTTGTCTGGGCAGCATGCGGGGCTCCGGGAACACACAGGCTGTGCCCCAGGGCTCGTGGCCCCGCAAAGGTAGAGTAGCGGCCTCGTGCAGAGGTATGAAAACAGGGCCAGGGAAGGGTAGAGGAGGGAGCACTTCGCTCTGCCTCCAGAGGCCAGGACGGCTTCCTGTGAGATGAGGCAAGTCAGCAAATGTAACAGGAGAGAGAGGTATGTGCCAGGTAGGAGGCGGGGCGCACCAGCCTGGAGGCGCATTTGTGGGAATGACCTGGGGTGACAGTGCGGAATCTGTTGAACGGACAGGAGAGGGAGACGAGGCTAGGCGAGCGGGCAAGGGTCAGACCAGAATGACTTCCTCTGGACGACGGCACAAGGGGCTCTGAAGCTGGGGTGGTTTATGGTGCCCGACTTTACGGAGGCAGGTGGTTGATCACTTGGAGATGGGCAGTGGTTTCTGCCATCAATGCCGTGTGCCCACGCGCGTGTGTGTGTGCGTGTGAGTGTGTGTGACGGCAGTCAGGTGAGGCAGAGACTTACCCGCAATAGATAAGCATGTGATTGTGTAAATTACAAAACAAGAAACGGCCATTAAGATGACGCCTGTAAGTCTCGAGGAGACACCTTTTTCATTTCGGTTCATTTATTTTGAGAGAGAGCACACGCAAGCAGGGAAGGGGCAGAGAATCCCAAGCAGGCTCTGTTCCGTCAGCACAGAGCCCGATGCGGGCCTCGAACTCACGAGCTGTGAGATCACGACCTGAGCCAAAACCCAGAGTTGGACGCTTAACCAACGGAGCCACCCAGACTCCCCGAGATGTCTGGTTTTAAAGGGTCCCCCTCGTAGGGCCTGGAGGACAGAGGCCGGAGTGTGGGCACAGTCCAGGTGGGCCGGGTGGGTCAAAATGAAGTCCCCGGTCATGGGAACAGAAAGAAACAGGCTTCCCGAGGGGCAGGACGGTGTCTGGGGTGACACTATGGGGCTGAGGCGGGAAAGCGGAGGAACACGTACGCAAGCTTCTTCCCGGGACAGGAGCCTATCAGTGAACTGCCCCCTCCCGACCGATGGACAGGGGCTCAGGGCTGTCCCAGTCAGTGTGAACGGCTGTAACAAAGTCCCACAGGCCGAGGGGTCGAAACAACAGGCATTTGTGTCTCACAATTCTGGAGGCTGTGAGGTGAACGCTTGTTGGAGGTGAACGCTTGCCAAATGGATGCATGGCCTCTTCTCTGTGTGCTCGAGGAGGACGGGGAGGGGTGAGATCTCACGTCTCTTCTTAAAGGGCCAAATCCACCGTGACGGCCCCACTCCCCTGATCCCATCCAACCCTAATTTCCTCCCGAGGTTCCCCCCCCCACGGAGGTGGGGGCTTCAACATAGGGATTCGGGGAGGGCGCAAGCCTTCGGTCCCTAACGGGAGCTCTGGCTGGCAGGAGGCAGGGCTGGCCCCTGGCTGTTTCATGCAGAGGGTGGCTGAAGGGAGCACCAAAGGTGAGTCTCTGGGGCGGTGGCCTTGAAGAGAGGGAAGAAGTAGAACTGGGGCAGGATTGCAGCACAGAAGATCGGCCTCGGGCGTCCGAGAGAGCGGTCCCAAAGGCCCCGAGTGAGTCAATGTTGGAGTGAGAGTCTTTGTGGACGTCTGTAACTGTGCCCTGGGTCATGGTCCTGTGACCGGAACAGGGTGAAAGAACGTGTTTAATGATTACGTCATTAATTCAAGGCTTCCCCCCAAAGTTCCCAACCACCACGCATCAGAGCACCTGCTCCCACACCCCGGCCGGTGCTGGTCCTTACTGGCTTTTTTGTTTGTTTGCTTGTGTAAATAACGTTTTTATTAAAGCGTGGCATTGTTTTCGTGGCCTGGGCTGGCATAACACATCACTACAACCAGATATTTACCCTTTCAGGACCCTGGAGACCGGAAGTCTGACCCCAAGGTATGGGCAGGGCCGGACTCCCTCCAAGAGCTGGAGGGGAGGACCCTCCCGCGCCTCCTTCTAGCTCCAGGCGCACGGCAGGGTTCTCGGTGCTCCGGGGCTTATAGATGTCACACTCCTGTCTCTGCCTCTGTCCTCCCATCACCCTCTCTTCTGTGTGTCCGCTTTTTCCCTCTATTTATAAAAATAATTTTAAGTTTATTGACTTTTGAGAGAGTGAGCAGGGGAGGGGCAGAGAGAGAGGGAGAATCCCAAGCAGGCTCCACACTGTCCACACAGAGCCCGGTGTGGGGCTCGAGCTCACGAGCTGCGAGATCGTGACCTGAGCCAAGAGTCAGATGCTTGACCGAATGAGTCACCCAGGCGCCCCATGCTTTGCTCCTCTTTTTAAAAGGACGCTAGTTAGCAGATTTGGAGCCCACCCTAATCCAGAACGATCTCATCTCAAGATCATTAACTTAATTACACCAGCAGAGACCCATTTTCCAAATAAGGTCCTATTCACAGCGACCGGGGGTTAGGATTTAGATGCATCCTTTTGAGGACCACTGTTCACCACACTATAGACATACATATGTCAAAGTTCATAAATTACAGTGGACAGTTCAGTGAACTTTTTTTTAAGTTTATTTATTTATTTTGAGAGAGCGAGAGCGAGCTGGGGAGGGGCAGAGACGGGGAAAGAGAGAGAATCCCAAGCAGGCTCCGAGTTGTCAGCACAGAGCATGACTTGGGACTCGATCTCATGAGCCATGAGATCATGACCCGAGGCAAAACCAAAAGTCAGTAGCTTAACCCACTGAGTCACCCAGGGGTCCTGGGGTCCGGAGGCTTTTTTTTTTTTTTTTAATTTATTTAGGTATTTTGAGAAAGAGAAAGCTTGAG